ATGGAAGAAGATCCAGAACCCCCTTTTTGGGGATTTTGTCACGTAGAAACTGCCATTGTACAAATTATTTACTACCTTTTTTTTTTTTTTATTGTTTTATAGTGATTTCAATTGTTTCAGTAAGATGATCAGTGAATACTGAATTGGCAAGGTTACAGAAATAAGCAGTTATGGTCTAATTTAAGGAAATATTTCTGGCATTTGTCTGGCGAGACTAAGGAAAATTACATAAACATCAGGATAACTGGTCTCCCAGCCAAGATTTGAACCCAGGAGCTCTTGAGTACAAATCAGGAGAGCAAAATACTCAACCACAGTGGTTTGTGCTCACTGCCTCTTATTCTGCTGCAAGAAATAGGTACATGTATAAACCATGTTTTTTAATTTCTTTATTATAAGTGTAAGTGCAAGTATTATGAATAAAGTTAATGGAATATTTAATAGGGAAAAATAGGATAAATAATTGAATGGCAAAGGAAAAGTTTGCTTCATTTACTGATCTGTAGCCAACAGGAGTCTGCATTATACTCCATAGTCACCATGAACAAAGTATATATGTTTTAATGTTAATTGTTTCATTGGGATGAGAATGTTGAGGGGAGATTAATATTGGTGCCTGTGTGTTGGAGTTTTGAATTGTAAATCTGGCAACTAGTTCATTGATTAGAAGTACTGATTTGAGACCGAGTTATGCAAGTAATAATAGAGCTGTGGGGACTGAAATATGAGGCTTCATTTATGGCTCAATACTTTATTATTTCTTGTGATGCTACTGTAGTGACACTTCTAAGATGTGAGTGGCATTTACTTTATTCCTCATATTAGGGTATGTGGAAAAGTCTTTTGAATTCAGGCAGTCAAACATAACACTGATAAGAATTTTACATATGTTTACAATGGTAAGATTCGTGTATGTGCATGCTTGTATATTCTGTTTTTGAACTCATTTCTTTCCAAATGTTTGGCTTAATTCATACCTTTTCTTGGTAAACTATCTCTATGCACAGAGTTTCACTGATTTGCAAAGTTGGTGGTCATGATATGGGCAACAGGTGTTTTGGTGTGAACAGAACTTTTATATTCTCATCTTTCATAAGGTAAGTGTTCTGTTCCTTTACATAGTATTAAGGTAAAATATCTAGAGCTGTGTGTACATGATATTTCCTTTGTATGATTCCTCCAGTTTGTTTTATGCATAGTTCTGCATCCCCATTTTGTTAAAATATGGAAGAAATCATTCAAGAATTTATTCTGCCTATGTTTGTTGCTGTAATCAGTAATGAGAAGTTTGTATTATGGTAGATAATGGGGTTAGGAATGAAATTGTTGTCATACTGTCTTTATGCACTTATTGAAGCAAAAACAAGGTTACATTTGCTGTGTCAAAGCAGTGTCCATTTGTTTTCAACATACATTTTAAAGATAACATAACTTCTCCCACTTCTTACAGAAGTGTCATCCTACAAGCACTGACAATTTTTAAATTACTATAACAAATGCTTTGGCTCTGAAAAGTTATGGTTAAGGAGAGGTCACATTAAATAAAAACCCAGAAATAAAATAAAATTATACCAAATACTTATAAATATTTATTAATGTACATTAATATTATAACTATATATTTTATGTTTCCTATACATTTGTAATCAATGTGGCACAGGTATGTTAACTGAATTCTCACTCTGCTGCAGAAACTGAACACATCCCAAAACAGTTAATGAGCTACATTTATCGATTTGGTTACTGCATACCACATCAACAGTTCATTATTTCACACACTGTTGTGATCCAGTTATCTGCCTGGCCATTTTGTACCAAAAGTAGTTTCTTTTAAGATATGAAGCCAGGATAAATGAAGCCAAATATAACGTAGAAATGGAACTGTTAGCTGAAAGTGGCCTATTTTGAGTTTTGGAAGTTCAACGTACTTTCAATACATGAAATAAGTAATCATATAGTAACAAAATTGGCAGGATTAGTTAAAATATGAAACAAATTTTATAAGAAACTGAAGTTATGACACCTGCCAAATCTCTGTACATTTTTTGAAATGAGAATACATATACCTTGTATCTTGAAGATCAGTCTTACTTTCAGATTATTTTAATTTTAATTGAAATTATTCTAAAACAGTAAAGCAATGACCTCAAAGAAGATGAAATTAACAGACAAGTTGTAACTTTTAGAGTGAACATGATAGCTCCTATTTTTCATACTCAGAATCAATTATAAGAGATTATAGGGTGATGATTTCAAACTGTACAAAAACAGAAACCATATCTGGTGAACACAAACATAAATCAGTGTTCACAAAACATGATGCGACTGTCCTCCATTATTCTGAATATATGCATCAGTTCCCTTGATCATTTTCTGAGGGACATGTGCAAGAGTGTTCTTGAATATAATCCCACAGATTGTCAGCAGATGTTAGGGTGGCCACGATACCTTTGAAATGAACAATCTTTAAACATTTCCTCCAGGATATCTACAGAATGCCCTGGCTGTTTGACAATAGCACCATCCTGCAAAATCCAAGTCCCTTTTGTGAAGCTCCAGTAAAAACTGCATAATTATGGATTTATATGTTTTAGCATCAGTTATTTAACAAAATAATTATCCTGATACTGGGTGTTTTTAAGTAGATATTTGTGCATTTACGTATATGCTGTCTTAGATCTTGGCACCAATTCTGACAATAAGTGAGGAATGGTCCACTTATCAAGCAAAAGAATATCAAATGGCAAATCCTTTTAATCTTGTGTCATACTCCACTGTGAAGAAATTCTTATGGTATCAACACATTTGTACATTCATCCTTCATACCTTGTCTATTTTCACAAGTTATGCCACTAAACCTATAATTTAAAAAAAAAAACAACAGACATCACAACTTTGAAAATGGGAGCAAGAGCAGCATTATTCAATGCAGTAACATTCTGTAAATATACTTTACAGTTCCTTCTAAGTTGAGTAATCCAGATTGGTATGAAACATTGTATTATCACTGCAGTGGATGTTATTTCAAAAGTTATTGCTTTGTTAATCATAAGTCATAATACAAAAACATATATGTTTTAGAGGCAACTGTGAAATATCAAACTATTCATTTACTCATCCCTTTAATACCTAATATAATTTTATTGATACACACTGTTTGTGTGTCTGTATCCTTATCAGTCACCACATAACAATCTTTTTTAAACGTCTGGCAAAATAGTCTAGTTTCTTAGTTTTTGTGACTGCGTTGCACTATGAAGGGCACTGCGGCAGGAATAGCCAAGGCTGTGTTATATTTATTTACATAGGGAATGGTAAGGAGTAGGAGATAAAGTAAATGAAAGAACTAGATTCACTCCAGCCTCTCCTTCACTAAACCACATGACCCTCCATTTCCTACTCTCTGTTACTGAACTAAACCAACTGCATCACACTTTTGACACCAACCCTTCCAAATAAATAAATAAAATAATAGAAAAGGACTAATTTCCATTATCTATACTCTCAAATAAATCCAATTAATGTGATTTTCCAAATATACATGTAAGCCCTGATGCCATCATATCTGGTCCAGCAATGTGACTGGATTAAGTACCAATAGATTATAGTTTGATTGTAACAAAATAGTAATTTAGGACCGACAGGTACTAAGAGTTTATATATATTCTTAACATGATAAAGAGAGCTTGATACCTGGAACATCATGCTTAACACAGCGAAGTTCTCTATAGCAATTCTGTGTAGACAAGCAGAAACCAATACACTTGTAAAAACTCAATTTTTAACATGAAACTGATCAGTATTAAATATTTTCAATCCACTTTTGAATAGTATTTGATAGACCAGTACAGGATGTGGCCACAGCCAAGAGATTACAAGTTTAAAAATTAAGATTCTCCCAATGAATTTCTCCATGTTCTAAACACTGTTAGAAGCAAACAATGACCCCACACTTTGGTTGCACATTCTTGGTAACATAAACAAATAAATCTTCAAATGGATTTATACTCTATAGAAAACAGTTTGTATTTTGTCTTGAGACACAATAAATTTTACCAAAATTACATTTGTAAGGAAGATAAATTATATATTACCCCAAATATAAATGAAGACAACCTTTTAAATGCTAGTTTTAGGCCTGATTTATGAACCTATATTATATTTCCTTCTCTTGAAAAACAATTTTAATTGCTGACATATGCAGTGCTTGAAGCAAAATATCTCATACGAAGCACAGAGAATGTTAATGAAATTTAGATATGTTACATTCAAAACTGCAATAACATGTCCGAAATGTGATTTTCAGATCATTACTTAAATGTTATTCTTCTGGTTTCACTTAAAAAAAAAAATTAAAACATACACGTGAATGAAACTGTTGTATATTTGTTCTGATGTTACTGTTTCATATAGCCTTCTTAGAGGATGATTAATTGTAAGAGAAATTGGGTGTTAACTTTATTATCCTTATTTAGAATGTGCAAAAAATTTTACATTTTAAATTACATTCCATTATCACATAACTTATTTCCATGTAAACTAGACCACAACATAGTATCATCAGTCTTCTATTAAGAGTTCAGTTTAAAGACAGAAAATTACATAGATTTTTAGGAGACTTAGTGCACTACTGAAGTAGAAATTATATGAGGTAACTTAAAAAAGGGAAAAATGGAAGTTTTGTTGCATGATTGGCAACACTGCTGATACCTGGCCATACTGTAGCTCAAGGGCAGACAATGTCATGCTCCAAGTGGTTCATTTGTAGTCCACATGTGCTCAAGGAGTGTGGCATAAATATGGTTGATATACTAAAGGTTTGCCCCAAAGACATGAAAAATTAATGCCCAGTCTTGCAGCAATTTTCACAGTTCCTACACTACATTTTCCAAGAATCATTGCTTGAGCACACTCCATGATTTGTTCATTTAAGTGGGAGGGCATTCTTACTTGTCTGCATTGAGCCTTTATTCGAGCAGTCATCTTTATGCCATGCTTGCCCTGCAGAAAACTAAAACTTAACAACACTCACAGAATGCCATCATCTAACCTTGAGCCACAGCATGACCAGGGCTCATCTGTGTTGCCAGTCATACATAGAAATATTCTCACCTTACTTTTTGAAACTCCGCCATCATTCAGGGAAAAATAATGCATAAATGTTAAGAAATAAAAGGTTCACATTGTACTGCTTCCATTTTGTCATCGTGGACTTATACCTCAACATGATTCATAGTTGTGTGTACACAATACATGTATGTGTATTGCAGGCAACACCTAAAATCCAGCATTCAATACAGTACTTACGTGTACTATAGTGATAAAATATACAGCAAAGTTGAAACACATGTTTCATACATTGCCTATGCATTTAATACAATGCCAAGCATGAAAATTGAATTAGGGGAACATTTTGTTCTCTTGATAATCCCTTTAATTAAGCATCTGCATTACATCATTAATAATAATTGTTATAATGTATAATAATAAACCTCATAAAGTTGACTCAGTAGTGTTTTTTGTATTCAGTCATACATCAATATAAACTAGGCTTTATCTGGAACTTTAATTACTGAATAAATTTATAACACTTCCTATGATATTGCACAATAGAACAGATTACTTTTGATGAAAGAAGAAATACATCATGTGGATCATTCTTGGTATTCTACAGAATGCCTTGATGTGTTATAAAATGCTTGGAATAAGTATATAATAATTAATAAAAATATGTAAATTTTATAATTTGCCTAAACTGACAAGCAATGTACAGAATGCCTAGCTTTCATACTGTGCCTGTAAAATACAAACTGCATTGGTCCACGACACTTTTATGCTAAATTAACCCAGCAATATTGCACAGGCCCTGTCTGCTACCCTGCCCGTAAGACGTTTCACATAAATACTATTTTACTCACTTATACACCAGATACATCTGTAATTATTAAATAACAATAAGGATGACATCTATTCAAAGTAAACAGCATGTAAAAGTAGTAATGTCCATGATACATTGATCAGTGAGGATTCAGGTCTGAGTGAATGACTAACATAAAAACCAGCAACATAAAGTATTCACTTCCTTGGGAAATTATATTCTACCAAAAAAACTATTTTTTGTATATGTATTATATAGTCATAAAACAAAGAGGATGTCCATATATGATAAATATGTATTGGTTATATTTTATATATATTTCAAATAAAGAGCACAAACAGCATCTGGAAACATCAACTGTTAAATGTATTATTTTATCTTTATTGGTTTGTAATCAGTGAGCATGACTAAGTCACAAAAATTGGTATGTACAGTTTTAAAGTCCTTAATGTATTTTAAAGAACCATATACGTATGTACAATGCTTATGAATTTTAGTTTTAATAAAATGCCTCAAGACAAAACCTTCACACAATGTAGTTATAGTTTCAATAAGTTTGTTGAACTCTGAATATAATAGCTGAATGTATTTTGCATTCTACATATAGTTCATATTCCTTAAGGTAGTGGTAATGGAGCTGCAGCAGAAGGAACTTGGATACAGACGCATCACATTCCTCCCTGTGGTGGAGGCTGATGTTGACTCCATGGTACATCTGACATTGCAGGCATGCGTGGAACTTGCCCACCACTCCGCATAATGTCATCTGCTGGAGGACAATGAGGACGTGGTCCAGGTTCTGGTGTATATGTAAAAGTTAGGCCAGTGGCATAGATGATTCCATCATTTCTCACCAGTGACACTGGCACCTGAGTGGGTTGCCGCACCCACAGCCACTCGCCACGAAATGAAGAAATCTCAGGGACAACACATAACATGCTCTCTTGACATCGATACATTGTTTCAGCTTCCACATCTCCAAACCACACCTGTAAGTTTGGTGTGAAGTTCTCTCCTGTTAATTCCAGCATAGCTACATCACCACCACCATTAAGATGTAAGCTATGCACGACAGGAACAGGTGTTACTGGGGATCGAACAGGACCCATCCCTTCAAAGAACTGATATTCAGCTTTATCTGTACTGATGATAGTCCAACAAGCTCCATCATTTATCATTTCCTTGTTTGGTTCTTTGGGACAGGGTGTGGCCTGAAACTGTATAATGCGTTCCTGAGAAAGACACAGGTACATTCTCTCTGTATCTTTCATGTAAAAGGCGCATTTGTGGAGCTGTGAAACAGGATCATCTGCCTCCAGAAGGGCCATCTGTTTATCAACTTTTCGAATGATTAGTCTTGGAAGTGCCATGCCAGTAACACTGCACACCAACTTCACAGTGCTACCATAATGAACATAGCCATCTCTCACTGCGAATTCTTCAGACTCTGATTCATTGTCATCTAGTAAGTGGATTGTAAATGCTCCCCACTGTGTAGAACTAGCATGGAAGTTACCATTCTCAACGTGCAGGTAACGAGTACTCACTGTTTGAGACCTTAGTCTATTGAAAAGTGCAACTTTAGTGCCACTAGCAATGCATAAATCAGCATTTTTAAGAGACTGTTTCTTCTTAGAAGGTTTGGAGATAACCTTGATCCGTTTACTATGAAATACCCCAATGTCATGCCCGTTCCCATAAAACATCTTGACAGATAACATAAAGTGTTTACGCTTATCTGAATCAGAAATATACAGAGTCTTTGCAGCACAATACTGCTTGCCATTGTTCAGGTCTAGCTGTTGCATGTCTTGATCCGAGTTTCCAATTCCAATGAATGCGCAAAGCTGGGCTGCTTGTTCTGTTTCTCCCTCTCGTAACATCTGCTCCTGGCGCAGTCGCCATCCCTCTCCAAACAAGTAAATACAAGGAGGAGGGCAGAAAAATCTCTTTTCATTACCATATGATTTTTGGGCTACCTTGGCATGCAGAATTACAATTACCATGTCACTTCTTTCACGCAGATACCGTTCCATGGCTTCACGGGTGAGCCGTTGATCCTCTGGTCTGTACAACATGGAGCTAAACCTCTCAAAAAGATTGGGTGGGGAAGGTGGTGACTGCATGCTATGCGCCATGACTGGTAACCCAAACTGGTGTGGCATTGTGGTACCTGGCTATAGCACAAGTTCACTCATAACACTGCAACATTCCATCAGCACAAGTTGGAAATGCATCCAACAGAGACCTGAAGTATTCTTCACGCCACACTGAAGGTATTCAATTCTGATGAAAAATACTGATTTTGTCATTTAATATCTGAAATGAGAGAATACATATGTAACATTAGATATTAAAGCTGGTGTTCTTAGCAGACTGACACCTTAATCACCAAATTCCAAGCCTATTCTACACATTGTTTATTACAAAGCAGACCGTTCCTGAAATGAGAACACACACATAATGTATTTATACAATATGATACATTCTCTCTCACCTGAGGAAATGCAAATGTCACTGGTATAACATTGCTTGAACAACTCAGACAGACCTAATTGAACTTTAAAACCAGCAAAGATATCTACATTATTTAACTATGATGTATAAACTGCAGAGATTATACACTGTATGAAGGGTCAATCATAAATTTGCCTGAGAGAAAGTAATACCATACAAACTCAATGAGGATAGTCAGTTTCCAAGTTGAGTTTAAAAATGAGTATCTTGCAATAATTTTGTGTTTCTACTTCATTGAGGAATAATAAAATTGAATGTATCAACAGTATATAAAATATCTGTGAATTAGTATCTAGCAACATAAATTTAAATACGATATGAATTATGAAAGCACACAAATTTTTATTCTTGGGTATACAATACCCAGTTTAGGGTGAGAGCTGAAGATAAATACCAAAAAATATTATACAATAGAAATAAGGACTTAGATTCAAAAAAGTTTTCACATCATATATGTATTTTTCCCAGGAGGTCTACAAGTGAAAGTTGGGTTAACCTCTGTGTCAACTTACTCATCACTCAGTTTCTAGGCTGTGCTCTGGCTATTTTGTTCTGTGAAGATCTTTCACATTACACTCCTCAAAATTAGTACAGAAGTTTCCCATGAAATGTGGATTAAGAAATTTTTCTGAGAATAAGAGAAGACAATTTTGGCTGCTGCATGTTCCATTCACTAAATCTTATGAATTAAATATATTCATTCACAACATAAAATATTAGTGTATTAATGAGAGAAACTGATACTTTTTTAGCTCATCTATTCATTTAGAGCATGCTGACTTTCATAAACTGGAGAATACAATTTTTATGTTTGTAAGAATTGCTTTTAGCCAGGGGAAATGACTGAAATCTGTTTGCCATACTTACTCATCAGCATAATCTGCTGTTTTTCAAAGTGACATTGATCAAGAGACTGAATGCATAGTAGGAACAATGTAATGCTCACATTAAACTGATGTAGCTACCAGAAGATTTGTGTTCTTTGTACCTGAAGAGTTCAGATAAAATATTTTATTCAACAGAGGCATAATCATTCTGATTTTGATTATATGAGAACAGAGGAAAGCCACTTACTTCTGAGCAAAGCATCTTATGACCAGTGCACAAATATATTCTTATATGGATTTATGACAAATCGCTATCAACAATAAAGCAGCCTTTAAAACAGCAACATCAAATTTCCCTGTGAGGAAGTAAGAGTTCTCATATATTGCACAGAAACAATGATGACTTTTGTTCTGAAGAATCAGGAAAGTTGGGACTCTCGGAAGTCCATCAGATATACATTGTACTATGTGTGAAAATCAATGCAAAAACAAACAAAACAAAACCCTTTCATTCAGTTTTCTCCATTTCTCTATCTCTGGTCTCACTGCAAGGTGTTATACAGAACAAATGCAAAGTATTAGAGGTTTGACCTGCAATTTTTTACTAACTCTGAAGCACATAAACCATCCTGTAAAGTAATATGCACGATATATGCTTTCGCGAAAACCTCAATGGGATGCTGAAATACAATATCATGAAATAAAATTATGCGATGGGTCTAAATTTTGGTAAAGTGTACAACATGAACAAAAACAAAATACTCATCATTTTTAATAATACTGCATATCCTTACATTCCCTTGGATTTACATAAATTTTCAAAGTTTGAACAAAAGAAATGCAAATGACACGAAACAAAACGGCATGGAATAATAAGCTTTTCTGAATGATAGTTATTGTTACAATCGCCTCCTGTGATTACATCATTAAATAGTTGCATTCTATAATCAAAACACACTAAAATATTTCGAAAATATTGACCAACCTTACCCGAATTTAAATCCCACTTAACTAACCTTTCAAAGACAACACACGAGTTTCTTCAACTAAAATACAGTTCACTTAACTCTCTTAAACAGCAATATTTACTGCATGGACTTGCCATTTCCAGTTCACACACTGTACAAAATCATTGATTTAGAGTACTGGCAAACCATTCTAGCTTACTTCACAAACATCATTTGAGAAACACCTGCTCGTGATGAGAATTTCCCACGGCCCCTTTCCCACGCAAGTCGTCGGCTGCCAACATGAAGAAAATGACTTTCCCTAGATTTGTATCTGACAACCGCTTGGCGTAGAGACTTCCAAGAGCTAAATAATCTCCATATAAGATTGTCTTAAACGGAAACAGATTTTGAACAAATCTCAACTTCAAATATAAACAGCACTTTCCGTTATGTGTGTGCAATTTAAATGAAAGAGAAATGAGAAAATTAAAGTACTTTTAAGTGTTGAGTGATGCGTGACTGGTTCGGAGGATGTACAGTTTCACCACGAGTATATTAGCAACATATGTATTTTTTGTACCAAGAGACACCACCACACACACACACACTTCGCTATTGCATATTAGGAAATTTGGGGTAATATTTTTATGCACTACACTATGAAATATTTTAGTGTATGTAACACGCGGCAACACGTGTCCCAAAAATATTTTAATATTTCCCATCCGTCAAAGTTATTATTTTTAGGACTAACCTGTACAAGAATTGACCACAAATTCATCTTGCCAACCCACAGTTAACAACGAAAATAACCAAATACACTGACAGTAAATCCGCTATGCATGTCGGATGCTGGTGATTTAGCTGTTTATATCCTTCACATTACTTAAAAGGATTGGGAAGAACAATACGTCTTTCACGAGTACCTCAAGAAAGTTATGGCTGGACGTTTTAAAAAAAATATAGAGTGACAGTATTTGCTGATATTAAGAGCACTGCAGAGGAAGTAAAAACTCGTAGCATATTAAACCTCATAAGAGGAATTCTAACCTTATAACGAAGTTGGCCGTGGTCAACAGTACGTCATCAATCAGTATGGTACCATATGAATAAAGTGGAAGCTTAAAGCGTGGTGAACATTCAAGTGATAGTAGCAAAAACTATCATCATAATCTTCCTCGTCATTGTCCCTTGCATACAGATTTATGGTTCCGAGCGTACAGAATGAAGACAATTTCATAACAGAGGACATAACATGCACGTAAATTTTAATTTAAAATCTATGCTTTGTCAAAGCATGTGAGACTGCCCTCTTTCCTCTTCTGTCTCTTGGTACAGGTTCCTTTTGTCGCTTTTAAGTATCATATTTCACGCGTCTTGAGGGGTGTGGGTTTAAGAGATCCTACTTTTAAGCTTGAGATGGTACGTAACACAGATAATGCCCACTTCCCCTATTCAGCACTTCCCCTCATAAATTGTTTTAGTTTTCTTTCCCATGGGAAAATACATGAGTCTAGCTCCTCCTACAAGTACAAGGCCAAGTCCGTCTTTCCCAAGCTGCAGTATTCCTCCCCTCACAATTATTATACATAGTATGAATGACCCCGGATTTTGTGATATCAGCTGGTTGGCTTCGAACATTAATTTGAAGATATTTATGGTGTTTGAGTCATTAATATATTTTCTGTTCTTCTTTGAAGGTGATATTTTAGGTTAGTGCTTGTGTTTGGTACAAAGCAATGGGTGTGAATGGCTTGTGGAAGCTCCTTGATCCATCAGGGAAACCAGTGCCCTTGGAAACTTTGGAAAACAAGGTGCTTGCAGTTGGTATCCTTTTTATGATCGGGAAGAATGTGTTTGCAAGTTACAGTACCTTTAATTGTGTCAAATTGTGGTATATGTTGATAGTGATTAATAATATGTGACAAAATTGCACAGTTTGATTTTTATGTTGTTTCTCATTTTTGCTATTTTCTTAATACCTCCAAGCATTGAGATGAGTCTTCAGTTTTTGCTAGTACATCATTGAACAGTTCTTTTGGGAGTATGAATGAAATACACATTGTCATCTCTTTATAGTTGAAATTATTTTGTAAAGTATGATTTTGATAACTGAGACATGCAAGTTATGGAAACTTATATAATAAGATACAATTACATATGCTAACAGTTGAAAATTATTTAGTTACTCTGGAATATTTTTTCTCAAAAAACTTTCATGTAATGTTAGTTCTCCCCACAAAAATCCTTTAGTTCAATAACACAATACTTGCATTGCTCAATTTGAAGCTAAACATGCTTTAGTCTGTTCCTTAGTTTATTAATAAATAATATACCAAGTAGTTTGATAAATTTCACCAAAATAACAATTACTATAGAAAGTAATTAGCTTCAAGTATCTTCATATCAGAACTTCGGCAAGGTGTTGTGTCTGTGTGAAAGAAGAGGACTTATATAAAAACAGAACAACTGTTTGTTGCATCACACAAGTGTAAAATGTTTTTTTTATATATTCATAATTGTGAACATAAAGTAGCTACCCCTCTTATGTAATATCTTATTGAATGTTTACTGGGGTGTAGGAAAAATGAGGTTGATGTGAAAATCCACACTTTGTCAAAATGACAAAATGGTATTAGGAGGGTTGTGGCCATATATACTTTTCTTATGATTTCCTTTGGGTAAACTGTTTATGAAAATTAAGTACTAATTTAAGCTCGGTTTTTGAACATTTCAGTAATATTTTGTTTTCAGTCTTGAGAGACCATACATCTACTATGTTTTCTATTCTGAGAAGATGGTTCAACGTAAATTTCTTACAGTTAAATATTTACTGGTCATAATTTTTATTTTGTGTGTGATTGTATTAATTTGCATAATTGGTTCAGTTGTTATTGCTGACTTATCACAAGCCTTACATAACATTTGTTGGTTATAATCACTCAGATTATGTTATGAATTTGTGTGTGTAACCACAGGACATGTATTATAAACCTAGACCTTGTAAGGAAGATATGAATGTTATTTTAAATTTAAGCTGCATAGAAGCTCCTGATTTATAATATTAAGGATTATCTTTTTTTATGTCCTGTGTTGTTCTTTTTCCAAAAAAATCATTCATTAATATTGTATTTTTATTCTGGTTAGCTTACTGGATACGGATGAAATAGCTTGTATAATGTTGAGCATGCTTAACTTCTTTTCATAATTTATGATAAAGCACTGACCTTAACATAATCATAGATGTGTCCATTTGGCTGCACCAAGTAGTGAAGGGTTTCCAAGACTCACATGGGAATCCCTTGCCTAACGCCCATCTCCTTGGACTGTTTCACCGTATTTGTAAGCTTCTCTTCTATAGGATTAAGCCAGTGTTTGTGTTTGATGGTGGAGTCCCCCACTTGAAGAAGCAGACTGTCGTAAGTTCCTGGACTAGCTAGCTTGCATGTTCTCATGACCCCCAATGTAATTAAGCTTCTCATCAGCAAAAGGTTATTCTATCTAGTATACACATACCTTGACTTCCTGTCATTGTGTGAGAATTGAATTATGATAATTATAGTTGTTGTGGGAACTGGCAAGTATTTCCTTATTCAAATGTGAACTAACACTTTATTCTCAGACCTTTATGTCTCCATGTTTGTTGCTTGATTTCTTCTCACTTTTTTTTGTAGAAAAATTGCTTTGCTTGCTTTTGTTGTGTCATTCATTTGCTTCATTCATTTTATTCTAGTTTAAACCAATACAGTTTTCATTGACAGCGTATTCTGTTATTTAATCTTCTGAATTTTTGTTTTAGTTTAAGTTATGTTTTCTATGGTATGTATTTGTTGTGTTATTCTCATACAACTAAGTAACTCCATGGAGAAGAGGCATTGAGAAGCTAATAGTTGTTCTGCTAGTCAAGAAACTTCCTGCCTTCTATGTAGTGTCAAGGTTCATTACCATGTTCGCTAGAGCCCATGACTGGTCCCTATCCTGAACAACACAAATCCATTCTGCAACTGTCACACAAATTCTTTTAAGATCCATTTTAATATTATCATCCAACCTATACTTAGGTCTCTGAAATGGTCTGTTCCATTAGGTTTTATGACCAAAATTTTGTTTGCATTTCCAACATTGACCAACTGGCATTAAGCACATGTGGCATGCATTGCAACCAAAGGATATGAGTGTTGTGTTGTTTTATTATGTTGGGAGTTATTTGTGTAAAGAAGGGACTAATACATATTTGTATTATCATTTCATATATATTTATTTGTCATTCCCATCTATTCACGATCTTATTGTTCACCGAACTGTGTCTTGTCAGAATTGACCTTGCATGCTGGCTGTGCTTTGTGAGCTAATGATGTGCAATCATATAAAGAACAGAATTGCTCACAAACAGCCAAGAAAGCTGTAATGACATGTAGAACAATGGTTTTCAACATGTGGATCGTAACGATTCCTTGCCTGAGTCACGTTGTGCAGTATTTTGTAAAATGAACTATCAGAAAAATCACTCCTGTTTACAGTAAAAATAAATAACTATATTTTTTTCCTGTTTGGTTATAGGGGACAGATTCATTATTTGAAAAAGTGTTGCCATCAGTATTCATCTGAATTACTTATTATGGATACAGTAAAGCTGGAAAATCCATCTTGCATTTTGTAGGCTGCTTGTGGCTGTCAGCTAATGTCAACAGTGATATTGAATGTTTTCTGTTTTTTTCCCCACTTTTCTGATCTTATATGTGCACTTGTTCAATAATGCTTAAGAAGTTTATCACAAATAATTCAGTGGTATATACATTAGAAATCTTTATTTAATATGTGACAATTATTCTGTGTCTTCATGATTGGAATTACATTTTATCAATGTGGGCAGGTTTGTGACAGTAGTCTAATGCCATGATGTAATGATGTTTGTTAGATATTGTTTGTAGTGAGATTATGTCTACAGCATTTTGGAGGCTGGCTGTGAGTAAATTTAGGTAAGAAACAAGGATTGAAAAGAAGTGTTTACTCTATCAGGCCTACTAAAGAGAGTTAGTGCTTGTTTCTTACTTGAAGTTGAAGACAGCCAGCCTTTAAAATGCTGTAGACACAGTCTCAATTGACTGAACAATGTCCAGGGACATCCTTACATGATGAACAGATTTGTTATAAATACATACTAGATGATTGGTGAAGCAGAGAATAGGTGAAAAGGCGGTAAGATGCTGACTATTCTTCTGGAATATGAGCCGGGATAGCTCAGTCAGTATAGTGACTAGCTACGGGCTGGACGACCGGGGTTTGATCCCCGACGGGGGCAGAGGATTTTTCCTCTAGCCTCTGCGTCCAGACCGGCTCTGGGGCCCACCCAACCTCCTCTACAATGGGTACCGGGGTCCTTTCTCGGGGGTAAAGCCGGCTTGGGTGTGATGCCGACCACTCACCCCCATCTAGTGCCAAGGTCAACAAAGAGAGGAGCTATACCTCCACTCACCCCAAGCGCCTTTATGGCACATAGCAGGACAAACTTTTTACTCTTCTGGAATAAGAAGTTTCACAGGAAGAGATTGAAAAATACTAATCCAGTATGTTACATTTAGTAAGGGTATATATTGCAGCATTCAGTCATGTATATATTATGATTTAATTGTGGAAATATTGCAATAAAACTAATTATAAATATGCTCTCATAAGGGGTTTGTCAAAAATGTGGTGCTATTACAGTATGATATAGAATATATTATATTAAAAGTTTAAAGAAGATAAGCTGTAGTCCTGTGGAGTATATATATTTTCTAAATGCATTCTTTTAGATTTTGCACATATCACACTGGCTTTGATATTAATTTATTACAGTTCAAGTCTATTATTATGAATAAATTAAACCACTGGTATCACACTGTTTGGTCAGAACTTATTCTTCCTTGTATTTGGTTAAATTTTCACTAAATCAAGAACTTTTTGAAATGAAATTTGTAGATCCTGATGAGATTTATATTTTATGTCACATACAGATTTACGTGATTATCGATTGCTGTGAAAATCTGTGAAGTTTGGTTTCACTTTAACTGTGGGGTTTAGCAGTTTAGCAGTGTGCCAGTGTGACACATTGCCAGGCAGGGCCAGTTAGATCCCTTGTAAGCAGCGACATGTGGTTGCTGAAGGTTAATGTAAAGTAGGGATTGTGTTGAAGTGATATGGACCAACATTAAATTGATATAACATTCAGGACATTATTTGTTCAGTGCTTTACCATCCTGTTATATAAATCAAGCCATAACAAACCAAGCCAAAATTACTACAGTATAATGCAGATGCAAAGTAAACCGGCAAAGACAGTACATAATTTAAATCCTTAGTTATGAACTAATTATCGAAAGACTTCTTGTAATTTTACTCTATCATCTCCAGATGCCATTTTGTTACAACAACTGCTTCACTCCACATGTTATTTCACTACTCACTCACCCATTATAATTGTACCAAATTTTATTTTTTTCTGCATAATTCCCTCAGTTGATGTAGCACCATTGAATAATATAAGAAGCAAACATATATAAAATAGCAAATACAAAATAGTTTTTGAGGAAATGAAGCCAAGGCCAAAAAATGGAGACTTTTCAATAATAAGAATGTAATAATTATCCAGAAGTCGTCTGTTTATTAAATACCTTCTAGATTGAGCACTCTTGTGGTCAAATGACTTTGAAGATATAGAGTATGTCTCTGTGCTCATCACGTTTAAATTTCACAGGCCATAAGAAACCAGCTCAAGAGCAAAGCTGAAATAGAAGCTGATCGAGTTCGAGAACAACTACTGAAGAATCTTGTTAAACACACCGCTTTGAAACGAGTTCTTGGCAGTAAAGCAAGTAATATTGACCTTAGTATTACACAGCGTAAGGAGAATGACATGTTTGAGTTGCCTCCAGAAAATAAAAAAATGGAAGAGACATTATCTGGGTAAGCTGAAAATTCTTGTCTTTCTATGTTTGGAAACAATTGGAAGGTCATGATTGTTTTTGATCCATATACGCGCACACACAGTTCATCCCCCAAATCACTTGATTGTTATTGATGAAATTTATTGCTTGAATTTACATTAAACTTGTTGGGTAAATTTAATTTTAGTATGTGTCATTCTGCTAAGGTCATTAAGTTCTGTTGTACTTCTTGAAATATATGAGCTTCCCACACAGAGATCATGCACAGTTTTTGTTTTATGTTTCTTCTCCCCTCCATCTCCACTCCTCAATCAGTTATCGTAACATTTTGCTAGTAGTGCCACATTGGGTGGATTTCAGAATGAGAGAGCCCCAACTATGTATGCCCTTGACTGTTCTACCCTAAGAGGTTAGCCAGTCCAAACAAGGATAGGTCACGTTGGTGCAAAAGACTCGTGGAGGAGCAGAAATACTGGAAAAGTACCATGCAGCGAATAAAATACACATGGACTAAGGTTACCTATCACCAGTCATTTAACATTTATTTGGTCTAGAATCTTGTGTTATGGAGTTATACAGAATGTAAAGGAAGCAAACAGTATTGCCATTTAGCACCTTGTTTGTTAGTGATATAATTGGGATGTTACGAATGTATGAAACATTTCCCAGCATAATTTTTATATCCAGATATATTCCTTTGCACTTTACTTATTATTCAAAGGTTGAAAGACATATTTCAATTTATAGATGCGAAGAAGATGCATTAAGTTCTGAAGAAGAACTGTACTCCCACAAAAACTGGATGATGACAGATTTGCATGCAGTAGATGTATATAGTTCACACTTCAAATCACTACCTGCAGATGTACGACATGATATTCTCAGTGAACTCAAGGAGACAAGGAAACAAAGTTCTTGGGGACGATTGCATGAGATGCCAAAGGTAAAGATCTTAACTGTTTGATCTGGGAAGTTCATTGTCATGTTATGAAGATACGGAGAAATGGTGGTGATGCATGGCATAATGCATTCTTAACCTTGGCTGTAGTTAGAAGTGAGTGGTCTGCTTCTGACTTTGGCTGCTTTACTCTTCAGATATGAGGCCACATGGGCCCCAGAGTTGTTATTGGTAAATATTAAAATAATAAAATTTGTTACCCAACAGGTTTTGGTACCAGCGTTTCCATCATCAGGTGTACATATTGTGTAAAAATTATTAAAGGTTTACAGAGGTTTGTTATACTATCATTAAAATTGTAGATATACTTCTTAATTATATCCAAATATCTGATTACAGTCTAAATTAATTGTGAATGTTGATTTATTCTATCTTGAATTTTGTTCTGGTATCTTATTGAATAATAGCTGGAAGATACTTCATGTATTGGTATAGTTTCTGTTTTTAGTACACTACATGCTAGGAACTGTTTTCATATATACTAATTGACACTGTACATTAGCTTTCATTTATAAACTCTTTCTTTTGATATTTATACAATGGTTTTGCTGTGTGATGGTTGACAACTTTCAGTTGCTGTAAATATAATAATTTGAATTTCCCCTGTAATCTGTTACTGAGCATGACTCACTGCATTTTGGCCAGTTTTTTTTTTCTTCTTCTTCAAAGTGACCATTTCATCCAATTCAGTAGAACTGGTGAAGAATTTTCTGTTATGTGAATATATGATACATTTGTCTCATGGTCTTATTATTCCTTTGCACCAAAACTATTTTTATCATCATTTTTGCTGCTAATAGCCATTATAGTTGGTGCAGTGTTATTTAATTACATATTAATCAGTTTGCACCTCATATTGCTGTGTTTGGCAGGAATCTGGTGACTTCTCAAGTTATCAGATGACTCGCTTACTGAAGCGCCGGTCTATTCAGGTTTCACTTGAGGATGCAGAAAGAGAGATGGGTGGTCGGTCACTCAGCTTGGGCGAGCTGGAAGAGTTGCTCAGTGAACAGGGTGTTGTTACTGATTCTAACATTGGGATGAGAATAGCTTCTGATAACATCACACGCTATGTATATGTGAAAGGTAACTTTATTCAGTCTCCATGTTGACTGTTGTGATGATCACCACATTTACCTGACTTTGAGGCAACTTTTCTTAGTGGCAAATTTTGAGGAAGAATGTTTTTGTTATTTATTCAGATAAAAGAGTTCCTTCCACTTCTTTATGATGGTTGCAGAAAGCCAACAAGGAGTAGTTCTTTAGCTTGGATGTTGGCTGGGGGCCCAGCACCCACACACTATAAGAAAGTAGCATGTTACAGAATGTTACACAGGGCCTCGGACTTGGATGGCTAAACATTGTAAGACGGCATACAACGTGCATCATTGAGATGATAAATGCATACAGAATTTTAGTCAGGAGAACTGAAGGCAAGATTCCACATAAGAAATTTAGGCACAGTTGAGAAGATAATGTTTAAGCATATCATAAAAATATAGGATGTGACCATGTGAAATGGATTTATCTGGCTGAGAATATTAACTTTTGGCAAGCTGTTGTGAAAATTATAATGAATTTTTTGGTTTCATAAATGGCAGATAATTTAGTAAGTAGCTGAGTTACTGTTAACTTTTCAAGACACACCCAGTTCAATAGAGTTACTTACTGTTGCCTCAGTAATTACAGTGTATAAAAATCTAACAATAATGTCTTCTAAAACTTAATTAGTAGTTTGATTTATGCAATATACGAGGCTGGTCTACAAAGTAAGTTTCCCTGGGGCCGTTTACAGAAACAAAACACAATTTCAAGGAAATATTTATTGCAACAGATACAGCAAGTGTCCAGCTATTTTTCAACATATTCGCCACCGGAATTGAGACATTTGTCATACCGTGGGACCAACTTTTGAATACCTGTGTCGTAGAAGTCTGCCGCCTGGGATTGGAACCACTGTGTGACAACCATCTCCGCCTCTCTGTCATTCTCAAAACGCTGACGCTGACCGGACAGGAATTTCTTGAGGTGTAGGAAAAGATGGAAATCACTGGGAGCGAGGTCCGGGCTGTAGGGTGGATGATTAAACACCTCCAAGCTGAACTCCTGCAGGAGACTTGCTGTCCGTCGAGCCGTGTGCGGCCTAGCGTTATCACTGACCGCACTTCACAGTCGGCGGGAGCTGGAATAAGAATCTCCATCTTCAACAGCTGCAACGATGCTACTGTGAGAATGCGGGAAGTGCCGTTAGTGCATGCGCCATGCTACGTCATTGCTCTATCACGTACGCACAGTCGCTTCGCGCAATATAAGGTTTTCTAGCTGTGGGACGAGTGGGAAACTTACTTTTGGGACGCGCCTCGTATATTAGGTGAATGGCTAACAAAATCATCTCAAAAAGTTTCTCTAACAGCAAGCTTTTAATTTCTCCACTGAAACCACTTTCAAATGTGTTGTCTGTAGGACACAGTTAATAAAAATTTATCTGGAGTTTGTCACAGGATTGAAACCTAATTTCTGATAATTGCTAACCCATGTTTTACTTGTTTTACAGAGATTGGAAAACAGATACTGGCAAAGAGCAGTTCAAAGGGAACCAATATTAATGCTTCTTCATCCAGTCAGACTCAGGAAGGCTGTAAAGTTAATGATAATGAGAGTGAATCTGACAGTGATCTCAGAGCGGTACAGGAATCAATTCTGCACAAGGAATTGGAAGTACAAAAGTCTGAGGGAGACTGGTCATCAAATTCAGAGGAAGATTTTGCTTCATCTCAAGAGACGTCAGTAAATAGTGACAAAGTTAGCCTAAAGCTGGCCCAGAATTTCATGTTTGAGAATAGTGGACTAACACAGCAACAAATCCTGGCTGTTATCCAATACCAGAAAGCTGTGGAAAGAGAGGTGCAACAAAATAGCGAACACTTCCTGTCTCCTGATCAACCATCGACATCTGGAATGGGAAGCAAAGCGATAGCTCTTAAAGGTCATGGTGATGCCCTTACCTGTAGCATGGTACAGGATAAAATAGGTGAAGCAACTTGTATTAGTACCTCTGTTAGCAATATAGCTGAAGCAAGTGGCAGTAGAACTGACGTTAGTAATACAACTGAAGCAAGCTGTAGTAAAATTGGCGTTAGCAGTACTAGTGACATGAACAGCATATTACATAAACAGAAGGGAAATGTATTAAATGATGAAATCATTGACAACAACAGTTTTGCTGCAAAGCAGGGAGTGGGCTTAACAGAGAAAGACAACATTTCTCTTCCTGTATTAAGCCCAGTTGCAAATGGATTGAAGAATAGTGATGATGAGGGTGAAAAAATGAACAGTGACAGTGACAGTGACAGTGACAGTGATACAGGTTTTGTTGAAGTAACAGATGTTGCCACACTGCCAGTTCACAGTACAGCTTCAGAGAAGAATACTTTGGAAGTACTAATAAAGCATGACAAAATACCTGAAATTGAAGATGACATCTTTGCTGATATTTTTTGTGCAGAAACATCTGAAAGATTATCAGCAGTAAATAATAAACTGACGAAAGATACAGGTATCAGTCTGTCTTGTAGTGTTGACATCGTACATACAGGTTCAGGGGGAAAAGAAAATTATAGATTCGATGAAGAAGACATTAGCAGTGGAATTAATGGTCTTAAAGAAGCCACTGAATCTGAACTGAAAAAGGGAGGAAAAGAACTGATGGGGAATGTTGTAAATCAGGATGACTGTAAACAGAAAAACCTTGAAGTGAAAAGGGATGTTGGTATAATCTCTGGCATAGAAACAGAAGAACAAGCTAAGAAGCCTCAAGTGACCACAACCACATTATCCTCTGAAGAACTCCAAAAGTTACAGGTACAGACATTGCTTTTGTGCCTTTTTGTTTCTTAATTTATCAGTGATGCTTTCAGTTGTACAGGTTATGTAGCATCTAATGAGTAGATGATTATAATTAACTGGGAAGGATTTGGCTTGTTACCAGAATTTTCTTTGGGGAACTGAGGAAACCTGTGAGCAATCTCAGTTTGAATATGCAGCATCGAGGCCTATAATCAAACCCGGGACCTCCCAGATATGAGGCAGAGTGCAATGTAATGGTCCAGCCAAATTATCAGTACTATCCAGTTCCTAATGCTATTGTGTAATTGCTGTCCAGTTCTGCTGCAGTCCAGACTGAGACCTATTTTGAACTTTCCCCAGCCAGGTGGAAGCATAATTATATGAGGTCTTAAAATATTGATTACCTTGGGTAATTTTAAGAGTTTCATAAGAATTCAACTTACTGTTGGTCACTATTGATTTTAAGACATGGGATTTGGGAATTTTTTTTGGACATAGGCTTAGGTGTACTACAGAGTGGGTGTTTGAAAATCATAAACCAAATACTTGGACAGAATACCAAGGCTGAAAAGGGGAATGCTGTCTGGTGTAATGTACTTGATGCTTTCTTTCTTGAAAACAATGCAGCACATGGCTAGTTGGATGTGGGATGTATTGTTGCAATAGAATCGCGGGGAGCAACGAATTGCCGATTGTAAGTGTATAAAATATATTTTTTAAATTCCCTTTATTTTATTTACGTTATTTCAGAGCTTTAAATGTAATGCCATTATATTACTCATCAATGTTTGGGTGCTGGGAATGCATGTCATTGACTTCCCAATGATTTACATTATAAAAGAGTTTCAATTTACACGATTCAGTTTATGCCGGTTCGTCCAGGAATGCATCCCCGGCGTAAATCGAGGACTACCTGTATAAAGAGTAACTTGTGCTTTTAATTAGTTTCTGACAGTTCATGTGTATAGTAACATGTAAAGTATTGAGCCGTATTTGGAGGATCAGTTGATACTGTAAGTCATTTGTTACATGTCAGTGCAGTGGTTAATTGTTCTTTTCAGACCTCTATTGAAGAGAAGCATCTAGACTTACTGGCAGAGAGAGGCAAACAAGAGAGATTGGCAGCCAACATAACTGACCAAATGCACATGGAGGCACAGGTATTAGCTCTCTGAAGGCTTGTTGTTCACAGAACATGCATTAAAATTTTAATTTTTCTGCAGTGCATCTTCTGTTCCTCAATATGTGCATCATACAAACATGCCTAGTTGCAATGATAATTTTTTTAAAGATTCCTGTTGTGTCTGTACCATTGTGTTATTAGAAATCATGTATATTATAATCATCAGACTGAAATAAACTGTAAAGATATTTCATGTGACCACCATATTGTTTCACATTCTGTATTTTTTCAAATAATAGAATAAAGATTAGTCTGTTGTTTGTTTCAGTCTCTTATCATTTTTTAAGAAGGGGCTGGAGGGAGATGCTACATATTAACAAAGAAACAAATGGACCCCATTCCTCATTAATTAACCCTGTAAAGTCAAATAGTAACTGTGTCCCACCTGCTTCAACAGTCTGTAACTTTTCATTTTGAATTTATGAGTTTTGTATGATGCCCACAATAAACAGCATTAACCAGTTGATCTTTTTTATTAGTGAATAGTCATGTTTTCTTTGTGGTATGGATTGGATTCTTAAATATTATTCAGATGCAATTCGGCTCCAAAGGGTTAATTATCAAACTCCTGTCAAATATGTAACAAAACAAACCCATACATTGTATTGCTTCATCTTATGATCTGTATAGGAGAGTTATCTGACAAAGAAAATCCACACAATATTCTGCTTTAGCTTGTGATTTATGTAAGGGTGTTATGCACCAAAGACAAACACACAGTGTAAAAGAAAGTTACATGACAAACATCCACAATGTGTACTGCTTTAGTTTATGATCTCTGTAAGGGACTAACTTCAACTTATATTTGTGCCAGTAGGAACTACTGCAGCTGTTTGGCATTCCATACATTGTAGCTCCAATGGAGGCAGAAGCCCAGTGTGCCTTCTTGGACTTACTGTCCCTTACTGATGGCACCATTACTGATGACAGTGATGTATGGCTGTTTGGTGGACAGAAGGTGTACAAGAACTTTTTCAACCAGAAGAAACATGTACTGTGTTTCAAGGCATCAGATATAAAGCAATGTTTTAGTAAGCCTCTTTGTTATATTGAATTTTAGAATTTCAGTCATTATGTAATTGTTAGTACAGTTATAATTAAACAATAATTAAAATGTTTGGAGTACTAATATCTTTCAATGTATTTGTTGCATTTTTACATTCCTTCATTACTTTTGGTGCTCATTTCTTGCAGATACAAATTTTGGTTAAACTATTGTTACTAGAGACAGCCAAGTCATAGATTATTTTTTATTTTATTTCACTACATATATATCATATTGAAAGTGGAAGTTGTATATCTTTATAGGCACTGTATTTTAAGTTATGTGGTAACTTGTTGTATGATGAGCAGTATTTTAAAAATCTGATAAACTTTGTAAGACTTGAGGTTCTCATCATGACAGGTGTGCAGGCGGCTGTCCTCTTAGCTGTTGCACCTTGTCTGGTAATAGAAAGAAGCAAGCACCTCTGAAACGTCAGTAAACTTCTACCAGACTATACAGTGCAACAACCCAGAAGCCAGCCATCTGCATAGTTAAATTTTATGTAAAGTAGATATTATATTGCATCAGTATGAACCATAATTAAATTTGCTTTGGTATAGACTTTACTGTACCAGATTTTATCCATATATATTTAGTTGTTTCCAAGATTATTATCTCCTGCTGTAAAACACATCAGTCTCATGTGGCTTATGTTCTGCAGAGCTTGAGCGACAGCAGTTGGTACTGCTTGCACTGTTGGTTGGTAGTGACTATACACCAGGGATTCAAGGTGTGGGGCCAGTTACTGCACTTGAAATCCTAGCAGCATTTCCTACTGATGGCAGAGATAACAGCAACATTCTCAGTGGTCTTCAGAAATTCCGAGAGTGGTGGCATGATGGAATGACTGTGGGTCCAGGCAAGACATCACTAAAAAACAAATTAAAAGATGTGCAATTTGTGGAAGGTATATGCAGTTACTATCTCTTTCACTACACCATCTTTTGCATGATCTATACATGCTACTGTGCATAGCATTTACTACCTTCCCCTTTTAAAATCCAGTGGTAATTATATGTGCCACCTGTTTCAGTATTCAATAGATTTGTACTGATATTGCACAGTGATTTCATTTACACTGACATTTGCTGACACACTTCTGGTACTCCTCTTTCAGGATGTTCAGTTACTATGTCATGTACCATGTTGTACTTTGTAACCTATGGATGTCAGAACCTCTAGAAATCTCTTGCCATTAAAGGCTGTTTTTTTTAGGAACAAAAAGCTTACTGCATACCAAACTAGATAAGCATGAAATGAGAACCAGCGAAAACTTTTGTTTTGCAAGTAATTTCCTTAATATGGGTACAGAGTGAGATGGCATTGTCATGTCCCAGCGGTAAATTTTGCCAAGATTCTCCTCAGTTCTACACCTTGAATTAAAAATTAGCTGGGATTTATTTCAAGAGATGCAAACTTTGCTGCACTTTGGATCTCACCCTTCTCCAGCGTCAGTGGATCGTTAGAGCTGCAGCACCTCTACAGGAAACTCATCATCTTCATAACAAACATCTGCTAAACTATGATTAGTATCACACTCAACACCAAATCAGGAGTGGACACTACTTCACTTTCTTATTCTCAGTTTTCAGTGTAGCAATTTAAACTAGTAAATATATATGCTGGGTATCTCAAAACTTTTCATTTCCATCAGACACTTAATTTGTATTTTTCCTTATAAGTTACAACAGTCTCTCTTCACTGCATATGAAAAATTAACGTTATTATAGGCAGTATTTGATCACCACCATGGGTGTCACTGAATCTTTTAGCAGGTCACTTCCAGCTTATGATCCATATTTTCTTTACCCCTGCACTTCATCTTTGATTATACCTTTGGCTTTCACACACACACACACACACAGTCTGTATATTATGCACATTCCATTTGCTATAACATCATTATTCTTTGTTGCAGTGCTTACATAACTTGTGATATTGAATGGAGGAAATGAACTGATTACCTTTAAAATGTATATGTTCATATTTCTCATTACTACTTTCAGGATTTCCTAGTGTGGCAGTGGTAGATGCATACCTACACCCAAAAGTAGATGAATCGAAAGAGACATTTTCTTGGGGATCACCAGATTTAACATCTCTTAGAGACTTTACTCGACAGAAGTTTGGTTGGACGAAAACTAAGACAGATGAGATTTTGCTCCCTGTTTTGAAGAAGCTAGAGGAAAGAAAGGTATAACTTGTGTGACAATACAGTATATGAAAATTGACCAGTTGCCACTACCCCATCTCTTCCACAGTTCCAACATAATAGTTGGTACATAGTAACTCTGCTCTTAGTCATTATGCTGTTAACATTACCTAACAGTCATTATGTCATGTCATCACGGCAACACTACTGTGAAGGAATGTACTGTCCCATAGTATGTCATTTTCAAATCACTGTATTTTTTAATTATTATTTTCCTGTTTTCATGTTTGTAGAGTCAGATGTCTTTGGATTCATATTTCAAAGTAATACCGAAACTTCAAGCAACAGAAGGAAAATTGAGTAAACGTGTGCAGCAGGCTGTTCATCGTTTGGGGAGGGCTGGCAGTTTTGTTAGTGAAGAGCCCATTTCAGAAGGAAGTAAGAGTGGCCACATTTCTTTGTGCAGAAAAAAGAAAACGGACACAAATGTGAAAACTCGGCCGGATAATGGTAAAGCAAGAAGCAGAGGAAGAGGAAGAAGTCATGAGTCTGGTACTGTGCATGAGCAGAGTCAACCTAGTGATATACCTGACATTAGTGGAGAATTTATTCCACAAAGAGAGCGAGATAAAATAAATGCCTTGAAGAGGAAGCTGAAGGCTGTTGAGGTATTCCGCACCTCTAAAACGGGTCTGGATCGTACAAAAAGAGAGAAGAAGGTTAAACGGCAGGAACTCATAGAAGCAGAACTGTCTGAAAGTAGTAGTGACTGTGACTGAAGAAAACAGATTCACTGATTAAATAAAAATATCACTTGTCATGTACTTTGATGTTTTACTTATAAAGATGAGATATCTTAAAATGATTTTGTACTTGCCATTTGTAAATTGTCACTCATTGCAGATAAATAGACAAACATATTTGTTGAGCCCCCCTGAAAATGAAGTTAATTCTTAAAAATTATACACTTTAGTGATGACATGCAAAATCATTTGAGAAGAACCATTTGCTATAATTTAGCAGTTCCATAAACACAAAACTGCATAAATTGTTTGCATTGCATGGATCAAAGTAGTTTGCAGAGTACATCATGCAGAATCACAGTAATATATCATGCATACTTATCTAAGTCATTTATTATTGATTTTGGTGTAAGATAATGAATGTGGAATTGCTGTATAGTAGTGCACACATATGTTTCTAAATATAAATTTATTTTCATGTGAATTAAGATGAAGCAGGTTATGAACATGCATACTCAAGTGATCTTCCACAAGGTAAAGAGTCCATTGTGGAGCTTCAAGTTTAGCTTGTTCTACCTCTTTAAAAAGATCCTTGAACTATAATCCTAGCCCATAGTCCATCATAAATATTTTTATATGACATAAACTGAAAATTCCAACCTGAGTTTAGTTGTGTATGTTTTTCTTTTCTACCCTGCCCTTTACAATATAGGAACTGCTGAGAAACTTTCACCCAATGGATACAAGTGCAGTGATACCAAGAATCAACATACACACCAGGATGCTACAATATAGACTTTATGCAACTAAACAAGTTCATACATTTGTTTTTTTAAAAGTGGAGTTAGTTCTTGTGTAGTACCAGGGACCACGTTTGTGAAAGTGAAATTTAGGTTCATGTGGAGGCAAGTATGAAGATAACTGTCTGGAATACTGCACATTCCTAGACTTGGTAGAAACTGACTGACAGTTCAGAGGTACAATGTCCATCATTAGGCCATCATGCTGATCACGGTTAATTTATACCAGACTACACGGCGCTACATCTCAAATACAGCTATCCTCAGGTCTGTATAACTAACAATATGTGTATTACTAATAGGAAGGGATAACTGAGTAATTTGGATGGTAGTAAACGTTCCAGTTCGACAGTTGTTAAAACAGTGGCTCCAATTGCTACCGCCATATCGTTTTGCCGCTGTGAATAAATGAGAGAACAGAAAATCTTATGTTGCAAACAACCGATCTCGACGTTAGTATTCAAGTATGACATGCTATTATGTTAGTTATTCCTAGCATTTAATTAATCGAAATTGTGTTTCCGACGTTCCATTGAAATTCATGCCGAACAAACAGAAAACGAATATTTAATATTGTCGAAACTACCCATGCATGAATTTGCAATCGAGCAGGTGAAAACCAAAACACGTCTCCACCGGAGTAACACCGGTGCCATGGTATCTTTATGTCATTCTGAGGTCTTTTCCAATTTAGTAACGAAATTTACTATATTGGCATGATTGATAAACACTATACAAATAGCAAATGGCAGAGTGTCTTTTGTGATTGTGTTTGTGATGGCAAGTTTAGGAAAGAATGAAGACGTATTATGTACGTCGGATGGTATTGAAAGCGTCTACAATAAATTAGTGGCTCAAGAGGTATTTATTTAAACACGAAACTTTTAAGTAATTAGTTTATGATGCAGAAGGTTTTATTCACACGAAATATTTCAGGTTATGTTTAATTGATTTACAAACCTGTATACGTGGATCCCATGGCATAAGATAGGGGGGATATTCTGAAGAATTCGTGCATGTAGTGACCTAAATTTAAAAGTATACAGAGAAATGTTTGTGGCTATGTTAATGACAGAAGTGGTATGGAGATATTCATTTGTCTAATTTGTACTTTAATGAAGAAAACATAGCGTTCAGATGTCATGAATCAAACTAATTTTAATACCGGGACATGCACACACACACAGTTCCTACATAACCTTAGTTTTCATTTAGTTTTTTGTACACAAAACATTGGCTTCTAGTGAAACTTAACTGCAATGTATTACCATTTGCTGTCTGCCATTTTGACCTGTAATGTCTTTCCTTGTACTGTAGGATGTGGAGGTTTTGCTTTTGTGATTGCAGGAAGAAATAAACAATGGACTGGAGACTCTTCTTTCAAGGCAATGCCACTTGGAAGCGAAACTGCGTGGCATTACTAAGGTATTACCAAATCTGCAGATTGTTCATTCCGATGCTCAGCAACTTGCAGAAATGATAACATTTACTTCCACTTTGGCAGAAAATGTCAGTTCAAAAGTACGCCAGCTTGATATTGCTAGGGTAAGTTTCATTGTGTGTATATTACCTTGAAACTAGTCAGACTGACACAGCAATAATACAACTGAGTTTCTGATTAGGAATGATCTAGGTTTCCAATGATCTGTCCATGTAAGTCTTGGGTTAATATTTTCTTGGCCACATCTTTCTCCATCTTTTCCAGTTCACCATACAGAAGCATTCTCCTCACACATGACTAGAAGCAAAGTAATCTCTGTAGTTAAAACTCAGTATTGTGAATCTTTTAACAAGTGTTCTATATTGTGTGTGTGTTTATATTGTATGTGCTGTTCAGAGCAGGGTATCTGAGTGCCAACAACGGGTGCATGATTTACTGGATCTTCAGTTATGTAGTGATGGCGTACAAACTGCTCTTCGGAACGAGGATTTTGAAAAAGCAGCTGCCCATGTCCATCGCTTTCTTTCCATGGACCAGCATCTTCTAAAACAGACTGCAGATGATGTGGCTGAGGGTATGGAAAGTCTTGTTTCTGATGTGCTAGTATAGTACTTGCCTTAGTAAAACCCAGTTGTGGGAAACCAAAGGGATGAATAAAATCTCTTTATGCAGTCATTCAGAGGTTTGGCACCGTGACCAATGTGTGTTGTGTGCTGCTGCATATTCAGAAGGTTCTCAATTTGAATTGCAAAACTCTGAAATTGATACATAATAAATCAACCAATGGACAGTTTTCTTGAAAAAAAACTGAAGATAAGAAGTAGCTGACTGCATCATGTCTGATTGTTTCCCATTGAGAAAAATAGTTAAAGGTATTAAGAACAAATAACTGTTAGACTTAAGAGAGATGAAGCAACACAGGAAGTTGTGTAACGGGTAGGTTCAAAGTTTGTGCTGTTCACCAGATATTCTTAGGGTGAATAAATTAAGAAGGACAATATGAGCAGAATGTATCACTCTTGGAGAATAATGAGATTTTATAAAATATTTTGATTAGAGCTGGAAGGGTAATATTAAAGTGGATCAGGCAAAATATGATGTAAAGGTATGGTACACTTCTGTGAACACAGCAATGAACCATGGGTCTATTAAAAAAGTTGAATTTATTTGGCAGCTTTCATCGAAGAATGTGTACCACAAATTTAGTTACTTTTAATGTATTATGCTGATGTTAGTTCTAATTTTGTGCTACCAATTTAATAATTATCTTTTATTACAGATTGTACCAGTGTCACAAATTCATTTTCATTACTGCATGAAGCAGCCACCCAGTTAGGTGCTGTTGTCACTCAGAAATTTGATGAAGCAGTACATGCTGATGATTTGGCATCAGTGGAGAGATTTTTTAAAATATTCCCACTACTTGGGATGCAGGATGAGGGACTTGTCAGATTTTCCTCATATCTTTGTTCAAAGGTAATATTATGTATATGAAGCTTTTCATCACTGCTTCTGTACCCAAGTCCAAACTGTGCACTTTTTCCTGTGCCTATAGCTTGTATGGATAGAAGGAAAACAAATGCACATACTATATAAACCAAAGACATTATCAACACAGGAAAAGATACAGCAAGCTACAAAGTATCGCCATTGGTAATAATGTTTATAGTATGTACAGTATATGCTTTCTTATATGATACCCTCTTACCCCTCTGATCCCCTTGTACAGAATCACCTTGAATTTGCTTTATGTAACAGTTCATTGAATTTGGTTGTTTCTCAGTTGAAGGATACAGCTCTTAAGAACCTGCGACTTGCACTGGAAACAAACACATCTGACAAGCGAGCAAATGTTATCTATGCCGATACTATAACACTCTTGTTTGAGGGAATTGCTCGAGTCATTGAGATCCATCAACCCCTAATCGAGACATACTATGGTTTGTATGATTTATTACTGTGATTAATTAGCTTGCTTCACATTCAGTGTCTTTCAGTTGAAGTTACGTATTAACACTGAATAAGATGAGAAGCCGATTGTGGTTGGTGAATAGGTGAAGATTTGGGAAGTGGTAGTTCCTATTTCAAGGAACTAATCTGGCATTTGCCTAGAGAAATTAGAAAAGTCATGAAGAACCAGAGTCAGGATGGCTGATAACCCAGCTGAGTACCTCCCACGTACATGTCTACACCATCCTGCTCAGTTTGTGTTTGCATGTGACAGCGACATTGTTATGTTCCTTTCTTGTTTCTGTATTTGATGTCTGAGTTTACAAAATTTACTACAAGGATGGAAGCTGGATGTAAAGTTTCACATGTAATCCTTCAAAGCTGAATCACATTTAAATAATATTTAAACAGTCAGTTCTTAACACAGAGAACATAAAACACTTCTCCATGACAAAGATCAGGTGGTCATTGGTCAGTTCTGTTTGAGAAAATAATCTCTGTTTATACGGAAATCATACAAAATCCGAAAATACGCTCTGTGGACAAACTGCAGTTACTGAATTTTAAATCAGGTGGTATACTGGGCTTTAAAGGGTTAACCATGGAACTTGAAAGTTGTGATCTTATGCTGCAGTCATCTATGTCTGTGGAAAAACAGCCCCTTGTATAGGAATCTGGGAAGGTATCAGAACTGTTCTGGATGTCAGTAACAGTGTACAGTCACTTTCTTGTCTGGTCTTTAGCTCATTTCTTTGTTCTGTACCATCACTTCAGTTCAGTCATATATCATTCCAAAATCTTTGATTTCTGCTTTTCTTGCTGATGTTTGTGATGACTGCATACTTAGTCAACACTTTATACACATTCATATCACGTTACTTATTACATGTTTTGGCTTCAGAAGGCCACCATGAATGTGAGCTCTTTTATTAAGATTCATCCAGTTGTACAAAATGAAAACTTTTCTAGCATTTTGCCCAGTATTATATAAATGTCTTATCTTCCAGCACTGAAGACAAGACCTCTGTTATCTCAACTTACAGCCATGTCTTACATCCTATAGGTCCTGGCCGACTGTTAACAGTGGCTTCATATCTTCAGAGAGAATGTGATCGCCAGAGCAAGCGAATCCTGGCTGAGTTTAGCAAGTGTCGGCATTTGGAGAAGATAGTGCAGCAAGTTAATGAATACATGCGAACCAATAATGTGTATAGCAAGCCAACAGACAAGCTGGATCCCAAGGAGCTGGACCTGTTGCTTGGGGAGCTTACCATCATGCATTCACGTGCTGAGCTATATGTGCGCTTCATAAGAAGGAGAGTCATGGTAAGTCAAGACACCAGTTTATAAGGAAAGGATATTTTAAATCTGTAGCTGTCTGTTACTCAAAGCACTGCCCTCATTTCAGTAATCATTTACTCACTCATTCCTTTATTTCAATCTAATTTATATATGGTAATAATATCAATCACAATGGATTACTTCATATCTTGGTTCTTTGATTCACCTGGAACAATTTTTCTGACTTTGAAATGTAACCATAAAATAGAGTACATGCAGATTAATGCCATATTCTGAGTAGATCATTCTGTAGCTTTAATTTTCCTGGAATGATTTCCTTTATATATATTAAAAAACCCACTGGAAAAAAATTGAGATGAAGGTTGGTTGAAATAGGCTGTGACCATCACCTTCCACATCCTTATCTATTAGTCGTTCGCTCAGTGATGAGCTGTGGACTGCGCGTGAGGGAGGGTACTGACGCTGTCTGCTAGCGGCAGTAGGGCACGGAGGGGAACACCTTTCTCTGTACTACTGAACATAAAAACATCAGTGCAGATTGAATTACTAACAGCGGCTGACGAACATTTTACAAAGCTTCAATTCCACTTAATTCCCCATCATCTTCTTCTGCATCTTCTTCCTCCCTCTCCTCTTCCTCACTACTGCTACAACTGTTGGTATCACTGTCGTCTCATTTCTGTAACGACTTATATTTCTCAAATAAGATATTCTTGCTGCACGAATATCATCCTTTTCGATGAGAACTTTTCTATTACTTTCCGATTTCCTCCACCTGAAGCCTAAATCTCTAATTATTTTCTAAAGAGCCCACTTCCCGCCACTGAAGTTAATCTTTTTCTTAATTACTGCCAACAACGATTTTAAAGTAGGACGCCCGCCTTGTGTAGTGTGAAATTCGTTAATCGTTCTTCGAATTACACACTTGTCAAAATCATCTACATCAGTTTCAATTTTCCTTCTTGGCCGTTTCTTGTGAGGTGTGCTGAATTATTTTCCCACTCGTTTATTATGTTCGTACTCTTTTAAAATGCGTAGCTTCAGAAACACGATTTTGTATTTGATTAACGTTAATCACATTGCCGCTGTCAGCTTCTTTCTTCATAAAACTTTAAACACTTATCACCATTTCTCTACTTTGGCTGAGTATTACTCTACGTCCCCCTATTTTCTTTACACCTCTGCCCACGCTTTGCATTCTGTTCGTGCTGAGTAGAAACAATGACGGTGAATATGACAGGTCTACTATAAATGGGTCAATGTTATTGAAATGGAATTTACCACACGAAGTGAACTCGGCCGAGTCTGCCTTGTAACTGAGCTCTGAGTTCACCCCACCCACTGTTCGAGCTGCAGATACACTGCACATACCAAGGCCATAGCTCATGTCCCACCGAACGGCCTATACTTGCCATTCATAATTGTGTACGAGTCTCATCTAACACTGTGTGAGGGCCACAATGTAAAAAACATGTTAATAAGTTTGGCTAGCTTCATTATTTTGTCAAAGACATTTAGAGGAAATAAGTTATCACAAGTTATACATAACTTCCTATGTTTATTTATTTGTTTAATGTGTGTTGAAGAATGACTTAGAGATTGGAGTGCCAAGTGGTGATACTCGGACTGCACTGGTATCAGAGTTAGAAGCCATGCTTAATGGAAGTGAGTTATGTCATAGAATGCAGGAACTGTTGAGTAGTTACCTGCTGTTGGAGAGATATTTTATGGAAGAGAGTGTGAAGAAGGCTGTGGTAATGGATTCTGTGGAAGAGGGCTCTCACACATCCAGTATGGTGGATGATGTTTTTTTCATTGTCCGGAAATGCATACGGTAAGAGCATGAGAATCATAGATGCATCTTGCATCTTGTTTATTTATTAGGTGTAAGGCTAGGTAATATGCCTCATGAAAAATTTGTTCTAACTTGTATTAATGTTGAGATGTTATTAACAATACAGCCTTTTATCAGTATTTACTTTTTCATACAGAAAGTAAAGAAGTAGGAGAGGCAGATTTTAATTTAAATGAAAGTATTTACTGTTCTACGTGAATCAGATAGCCAGCTTGGACCCACTTCACACTTTTTTTAAAACTAGTGAGCCCATATAGCTCACTCAGTATAGTGACTAGCTATGGACTGGACTAGTGGGGGTTCAATCCCTGACAGAGGCACTAGCCTCTGTATCCTTACCGGCTCTGGAGCCCACCCAATGTCCTATCCAGTGGGCACTGGGGTCCTTCTCTGGGGTAAAGTATGGCTGGGGCATGATGCTCACCACTCACCCCCATCTAGTGCGCGAGGTCAAGAATGAGTAGGAGCTATACCTTCTCTCCCCCCAAGTGCCTGCATGGTGTATAGTGGGACAGCTTTTTAATTATTGTTCATATTTTGAAGGAAAGCATACTTATGTTGGTCTCAGTTCTGTAAAAGATTTGATTAGGTTTGGTGTCAGTTTGTAGTTCTGTTGAAAAGGAACTCTATTTCAGGTACCACAAATGGTTTCATATGTTATATAAGGTGTGTTAATTCTCCTTATTACTGATGGCATTGACATAGTCTAGTCGCCAGTAACAAAACATTCCTCTCTTTGCCCTATGGTGAGAGAAGAAGCATTAAGTAAGAACTTGAAGGAACTGGTCAGTGTTTTAGTTCAGAGTGTACAGACTCATTCATGCTACAGCTGACTTTCTCACTTTTTGTATTGTCTCCCACACCTCAAGATTTTCTCTGTCCACTGTAGTAGTTCTTGAAGCATGGAAATATTATTGCAAGGGTCTTTGGCTCTTTATCACTCCCAATAATGAAAATAATGCTCGTCTTTATCAAGTCTGAAATTTTCATAATGTCTAAATGTAATGAGGTGTTCTTGGACAATCAGCCACATCAGTGTCAAATAAAACTTTGATATTTTAGAAACTGTTCTTGTCACTATAGCTGATTGATCATGTGAGAATTTATTGAGTTACCCCACTCTATATTAGAACCTACTGAAGAGATCAAGAAGGTTACTTCAAGTAGTAATGTATTTTGAATTCTATTTAGGAGGTACATTTGTAACAGTTTTTTTAACAATAGAAATACACTGTTTATTATGGTCAGTTCAAGAATTACTTTTGACTTCAAACAGAACAGATTACAAGACATTTATTTTAAGAATGCGTCATTATTATGCTGATTATAGTCGTGCTGGCACCAGCTCTAGCCTGGATGGTGTGTGTGCTGTTATCAATAATGCTTGTGCACTACTAGAGACTGACTTTTGTGAAGTGCTGAGACGACAGCTGCGACAGGGCTACCCATCTGGTTATCTGGACCTAACACAGGCATACAGCGTGCTGCATACTTCTATACAGCAGGGTCGCCTGCAGGCATCAGATTCAGAGCAAGCACGTCTTATGTTCCTGGTGAGTCATCCATTTACACAGAGCAGCCTTGTCCTATGAATAGTTTATTTCATACGGCATGTTGTTTGGACCTAGGAAAGAGAAAATTACATAATGAGGAACTTTATTATTTGTATTTTTTACATAATATTATTAGGGTGATGAAATCACAGCAGATGGAATCAATGGAGGATGATGAGAAATACATAACAGATTTTACTTGGAATACTTGAAGGGAAGAGACCGCATGGGGCACCTAAGCATAGATGGAAGGATAATGTTAAACTGGATCTTAAATAAATAGGATGTGATAATCAGGACATGAACTAGATTAATCTGACTCAGGATTCAGTTCAGTGACAGGATGTTGCGAAGATGTTAACGAACCCTTTGATTCCGTAAATGACAGCAAACTTCTTGTAAGTGACTTGTAGATTCTGAAAAATTATTGCACTTCATAGAGTTAGTGTATCAGTGATGTCCAAACCATTACCACAGATGGAGCCACATTAAGGTTGGTGATGAAATTAAAACTTGTTACAATTGAGAAGGAAATGTATGTATCCACAGTAATCTTAACATGATTAGTCACTGTTCAAACAACAGTTTTACAGATCTTCAGCCACATAACTTAAATTTTGTAGCATTACAGCACAAAAGCACGAGGGTTTAATTTCAGATTAAAAGTTGTTGGTGTGAACTGTCTTTATCCATTATTAAAACTTTCTGTGATAAATGAGCTCTCTTATGTGGACAATGATGTGGACAATGATGAAATTGACAGTTTTGTTATACTGTTATATGAACTTGGATAGGTAAGTCTGTATAGTGACTAGCTGCATAGTGGACAGCTGGGTTCCAATTCCCAGCAGTGGCTAATTTTTTCTTAATTAAGCACAGAAGCATCTTACCTTCACCCTCTATAATATGAAGTTCAAACTTTCATAGATAAAACAGAAATCAGTAACAAAATTTAGGGTGTTACAAAGCTTCATTTTGGTCGTGGGATTTTCTGCACAGCCTGAATAGACTCTATGTAATGTTATGTTAAACATTCAATGACTGATACTGATTTTATATTGTTTGTGAATGCAGTAAATTCCAGTGTTTGCTCAAGAACCACCTACAGGGCTTTGTCATATACTCATTCACTTAATGTAACAAGCTAAATGACTGAAGACAGAAACAAAGTTTGTGTTTGACATTTTAACCGCCATTTTCTTTCCAAACAGACTTATTTAAACAATGCTGATGCAAGCACTGAATACACTGACACATTGCGAAGAAGCCTGATGGACGAAGTTCCCAGTGTGTTGACGACCATGTCAGAAAATGAACGAGTTAAGTTGGAAAGCTGTTTGTCTGGATTGGGCTCAGTAGCAGCCAGCTTGAAGGCTGTTATTGACTATGGAATGGAACAGCTGAGAGTCATTGTCATCAAACCACGAGTAAATCCGTGGGTGGATACCTTTTTGTCTGTCAGTCATCAGCTGTCAGAGGTAAGTTTCAGTAGTCTGAAGAGAATTTTATGCCACTATTTGGTTCAGAATCTTTATCTGTATATCTCCTCCCTTAAAACCCAGATATATCATTATAGGAACGTAAAGTTTATGGGGATAAGCATTTTATTAATCCATTTGCTATTTAGCAGGATGATATTCACGAGGAAATTAGGAGACTAAATTCTGGAAATGCTTGCTAATTTTCAGTTCAAAATATTTTGTCTTCCCCTATGATTTCTAAGAACATAAAGATTAAAATATACAAGACAATAATTTTGACTTTTGTTTTTTATGGGTGAGAAACATGGTCTCTCACTCTCAGGGAAGAACATAGATTGCAAGTGTTTGAGAATAGAGTGTTGAGGAGGATATTTGGGCCTAGGGCAGAAGAGGATAGGGTATGGAGAAAACTACATAATGATGAACTTAAAAATTTGTACTCCTCTACCATTATTGTCAGGGTGATTAAGTCCAGAAGAATGAGATGGACATGGCATGTAGCACACATGGATTGGGCAAGAGGTGTGCACCGGGTATTGGTTGGGAAGCCTGAAGGGAATAGACCACTGGAGAGACCTAGACACAGATGGGAGGATATCAAGCAGGATCTATGGGAGACAGGAGTTGAAGGTGACTGAATTTTGTTGGCCCCAGACAGGGACCGGCGGAGGGCTTTGGTTAATTTAGTGATGAACCTTTGGGTTCTGTAAGTCATCTAGTTAGTTAGTTATTCCTGAGTGGCTAGCTGTCCTGCTTCATGTTTGGGAGGTCCTGGGTTCAAGTCTCTGCCTGCTCATTGGCTAACTTGGCTGAGGTTTCTCATGGTTTTCCTCAGTTCATCCATGAAAATGCCAGTATAATACCTTAAATTAGGCTTTTTTCCACATCCTTTTCAGTTCAGTACTCAATGTCATTCTCTCATCTGAAGGTCTAGACCGGGGGTGGGGAACATGCGGCCTTAAGGCCACATGTGGCCTTCTAGGTCCTTAAATGCCGCCTTTTGACTGAATCCAAATTTTACAGAACAAATCCTTTTATCTTTATTGATACATTTTTCAAGACGCCCGTAAGGTCACAAATGACGGATACCCATCTAGAGGATCAACTGCAACTGCGGACCTCCATGCCGCAACCAAACATTCAAATGCTTTCCATCAAAAAGCAGACACAACAAAGTCATTAAAAGATTAGTTAACTTTAAAATTAACAAAAAGTTTTCATTTCTTTGAAATTATGAAGTACATAGTAGTTAGATTTTTACAAAATAATGTACATTTTTAAGTATATCTAATTGAAGTTTCTTGAATGCGGCCTTATTTGATTACAGCTAAATTAATGCAGCCTTCCAACATGAAAAGGTTCCCCATCCCTGGTTTAGACACTGTAACTGTTGTAAAATAAACTATAAATAAAACATAAATTCAGAATTTGAAACATGCACATTATACATTTATGAACTTTCCTAAACTTTTACGAGAAGTAACAGTTCTTGGAATTTTCAGGAGGACTTTGCAAATTATGAAGCAAATGAACCATTTGTTCAGAACCTGATAATGAACTTGGATGGACTGTTGGGCCTCTTCAGAGGTTCTCTCACCACAAGCAACTACGACACATTGGTCAGCATCCTGACAGCTGAAGTCACCGCTCATTTGGAGAAGGTTGTGATCAAGTCTACGTTTAACAGGGTAATTATTCTTCACCATAAGTGGCATTTGAATGTTTCGTGGTAAGGACAGGCATTGGCATACTATTAACAGCCAGCAGCCAGTGTTCTTTTTGGATTTGCCTGTTTTGTGGGCTTAGTTCTTGTACATGGTGGTTTAAAAATTTTTGGTACAGGAGCTAAATATTGGCTGCTCGAATAAGACTTTAAACGCAGTTTAATTCAAGATACTGGCCTACATTTCTGCCAGTATTCATACAATTGTCAAAATATTTTTGGAAGCCAGAATCCACCATGTGTAACCTCATGCAATACAATGCAATCTTCAAAACCACTTGGCTCATCACAACATCTTAATATTTTTACTGAGGGTGGTGTGGTAAGTACATACTTACTTACTTACTTATTGAAATTCTACCTTTCTCTGCTGCTGTTTGTGACATCTGCATCATCCATACGATCCATTTCTTTCCCTGTATGATTTTCTTATCTCTGGACCTCAAGATACTTAAGGGATGCTGATTATAGCTGCTGAAGTACAGCAGCTGTGCATGATTGGACATACCACATATGTATGGAATTCAACAGTAAGGCCTCTAGTGCTTTGATGACTCCATAATGCATGTCTTGGAGCTCACAGTGAATTTCTGTGGCTAAGGCAAATAGATCTCTGTTTCTTATCCTTGGCATACAAGTTTGTATTGAGCCTCTGTTGCTTGTAACAAGATTTGAAAGTTGTACTCTGCGGAGTATATGAAACTTCTGAAGATGGTCTTTACAATACATCCAGTGGGTATGATATGAAATAGTTGACACTGACAGATGGCCAGACATGATTAGCCCATACTAGCCTAATATTCAACCAGGGCTGGTAGTAATGAGCTTGGGACTGGGGTCTGTGCTGGTCCAGTCCCAAACATCCAGGGCAGAGAGTAATGACCAGATGTTGATGTTTGTGAATGACGAGGGAATCCCCCAGCTCAGATTAGTGTACTGGTGTATTATTCAAAAGCTCCTGGGTTTGGTCATAGTGGTCATTATGATTAACCATAATATTTGGTGAAAGATACAATGGAGGGAATGTGCCCATAAGATGTTCTTTGCTTACACTGAAACATAAATGATGCTTGAAAATTAAATTACACATGTAATTCGCACATTTAACAGGTGACAGAGCCCAGATTTCAGAAAGGCCATAGAATGGAATTTTAACAGTGTTTTTTTTTGCAGTTGGGAGGACTAGTCTTTGACAAGGAAGTGCGCGCCCTAGTGAGTTACCTCACAAGCACCACATCATGGTCAATTCGTGACAAGTTTGCCCGCCTGACACAGATGGCCACTGTGCTCAACCTTGAAAGAGTGACTGAGATCTCAGACTATTGGGGTAGCAATTCTGGCCCTCTCACTTGGAGACTAACCCCTGCAGATATTCGTCAGGTCATGACCCTTAGGTAAGGACTTCTGTGGAAGATTCTTTTTCTCTGGCTACATTATAAGTGTTCCTGTGGTGTAGATATGTAGTTCTCTACCTGGGGTTCTCAGGGTTTCTGTGGATGTATACACGAACAGTAACCTAAACAAAATTACTTTATATTAACTTTAAATTTCTGAAGTTAATTTTGTCTTTTTAACAGAATTATAAAGCATGAATTTTAAATGAATTCCTGTTGTGTGTAATTGTTTTGTAAAATGGCAGTGCATATTGTTTAACATTTCAATGACAATAACATTCTCTATTCTAGATTATTTCTTCTTAATTTTTCCCTGGGCTTTGCATGATATGATAGCGGATTTAGAGTGATAGTATTTCAGCTACAGTACAATAAATATGTCTAGGTAATACAAAATGTTCTATTTGAAGTTCAAGCTGTAATGACAGAATTTCGATTGTATCAGGTGAAAAAATGATCATAAACCTGCTCTTCAAGTAATCTGCGAGGGTGAGATTTAAATGCCCAGTGCGCCAGTGAAAACTGTAAGAACACATTTACTCTCTCTGTTTTTGAAGTCAAGATACAAAGCCAATATTGGAAATTATAATTTTGAAGTTCTCCCAGTTTATTGCTGATGCTGCCTGGTTTAAAAGTAGAAGCACACTGTGCACTAGTTTATTCGCATTATCACAACCTGCAAATATGAAACTGGATTTTCATAAGCCTCTGTGATCTTCAGTTATATTAAAATAATAATTTATTGTCTTCCTTGGATGTTTCAACTGACAATAAAGCTTCTTTATCTTTTCCAACAGTATCAAATTCTTTCCATGGCTAGGTTGTGTCTTGAAAGCAGAACCCAATCTCTGTTTGCTGGGCTAGGAGTTATAGTAATTTATATTTGTTTAATTTTTGTGAATGAAACTTTCCATAAGATTATTCTCTATTGATACTCATACTTATTTGCAAGAACAGGAGGAATGAAAGATAACAGGATATTTAAAATAATATATAATGGGCATCATGTCTGGGGTATCACATTGCTTATTTATTCATTTCACTGTTTATTTAACTGGAACTATCAGTCACATTTATGTTTTTTTTTTATAGGACAGACTTTCGAAGTGATGACATCAAACGGCTTAAGCTATGAAGTAGTGGTGAAAAATACATCTTGAAGTCTGAAGAATTTGTGCTGTTTCTAAAATGAATTTCTCTTGGGTGCGGCAGGCACCTTGCAAGGTGTATTTTCATTAACATTGGTTTTAGTTCCATTGAAATTTCTGTACATTTATTTTGTTGGTTATCACAAATGCATATTTGTCTAACCAGTGTTAATAATATTTTGAAGGTAAAATTTTCCAATTTTTTTTGGTTTTGTGCGCTTTAACGACAATTTCCAGCATTTTTTGATTTTTGAAAATTTTGAAAAATTTCAAAATTTTCTCAAAAATTATCCTCACCCGATCGATGTCAGCATTGTGCTCCGACTCATCCAGTCTTTGACGTGACCTGTCTGACGGATCCTGTCTCAGTAAGGTCCAATCTCTGTATGACACTGTCTCTAGCCTAAGTTAACCTAAACTAATCTAACCTAAGCCAACCAAACGTAACCTATCCTAACCTAACCTAACCTCACCTAACCTAAACCAATCTATCCTAACCTAAACTAACCCAACCTAACCTAACCTATCCTAACCTAACCCAACCCAACCCAAACTAACCTAACCCAAACTAACATAACCTAAGCTAACCTAACCTAATCTAACCAAACCTATCCTAACCTAACCTAACCTAACATAACCCAACCTAACCTAACCTCTGAGACATGCGGAGTCTGGCAGAGCCCGTGTGAGACGGAGAACGAGTTTGATGGAGACAGGTTGAAGCACAAATCGGGTGAGACAGACCGTGCCTGTGTTAGATCGGGTTTGTCAGAGACTAGTTCTTGTATGGGTCAAGTAGTGAAAATTTGAAGAAAAAAAATTCAGATTTTCAAATTTTTTAGAAATTAAAAAATGCTGGAAATTATCTGAAAAGTGCACAAAACCAAAATTTTCATAAGCCTTGAAAAAATTTGGACTGCAAAATTTTCCAATATTTTTGGTTTTGTGCGCTTTTTGGACAATTTCCAGCATTTTTTTAATTTTGAAAATTTGGAAAAATTTAAAAAGAAATTCAAAAATTCTCCCCACCCGATCGCTGTCAGCATTGTGCTCTGCCTCATTCGGTGTTTGACGTAACCTGTCTGACGGATCCTAAAACAGTAAGGCCCGGTCTCTGTATGACACTCTAACCTAAGTTAACCTAATCTAACCTAACCTAAACCACCCTAACCTAACCTAACCCAAACTAACTGAACCTAACCTAACCCAACCTAACCTAACCAAACGTAACCTATTCTAACCTAACCGAACCGAACCTAACCTTACCTAACCCAACCTAACCTAACCTAGCATAATCCAACCTATTCTAACCTATCCTAACCTAACAACCTGACCTCACCTAACCTAACCCAACCTATCCTAACCTAACCTAACCCAATCTAACCTACCCTAACCCAACCTAGTTGAACCTAACCTAAACTAAGCTAACCCTACCTAACCTATCCTAACCTAACCCAACCTAACATAACTTAATCCAAAATAACCTAACCCAACCTAATCTATCCTAAGCTAACCTAACCCAACCTAACATAACTTAATCCAAAATAACCTAACCCAACCTAATCTATCCTAAGCTAACCTAACCCAACCTAACATAACTTAATCCAAAATAACCTAACCCAACCTAATCTATCCTAAGCTAACCTAACCCAACCTAACATAACTTAATCCAAAATAACCTAACCCAACCTAATCTATCCTAAGCTAACCTAACCCAACCTAACATAACTTAATCCAAAATAACCTAACCCAACCTAATCTATCCTAAGCTAACCTAACCCAACCTAACATAACTTAACCTAACCAAACCTAGCCTAACCTAACCTAACCCAACATAACCTAACCTAACTTCTGAGACTTGCGGAGTCTGGCAGAGACCATGTGAGGCAGAGAACGTATCTGACGGAGACCGGTTGAAGCACAGATCGAGTCAGTCAGACCGTGCCTGTGTTAGATCTGTTTTGTCAGAGACCGGTTCTTGTATGGATCAAGCAGTGAAAATTAAAAAAATTCAGATATTTAAAAAATCTTCAAAAATAGATAATGCTGGAAAATATCTGAAAAGCGCACAAACTCAAAGATTTTAAAAATTAGTGAATTTTGTTTAAAATTTTCGAAATATCAAAAAATTTAAAAATTTGAAAAATAATTGGTGGAATTTTTAAAGTTTTTTGTTTTGAGCGTTTTTGGACAATTTCCGGCATTTTTAATTTTTCAAAAATTTCCAAAATTTTCAAAATTTCTTCCAAAATTCTCCCCAAATGATGCCTTGCAGAACCGGTAGCTGTCGGACACTTTCTAATGTACTTTGTCTCGGACGAACGGGGTCTGTGCCTCATACGGTCTCTGACGTACCATATCTGAAAAACCCAGTTGCGGCAGGCACCACGTAAGGCAGAGATTGAGACGGGCAGAGACACGGACGTTCACACACCGAGACCTGCAGAGGCCGGCTGCTGCAGACACAAAGGCAGTCAGCAATACGGAGAGATGGAGGCCGAGAACGGCAGAGACGGGATGAGGCATTCACCGAGGCTGGCATGCATCTCTTGGGGACAATTGAAAAAGTTGAAAATTTTCGAAAAATCAAAAGATGCTGGAAATTGTTTGAAAAGCGCACAAAACTCGGCCTCTATCTCACCCAGTTGCTACGTGCCTCGGTGTCTGCACCAACCGGCCTCTGCAGGGCTGATCTCTGCATGTCCGTGACTGCCTCACGTGTTGCCTGCAGCACCTGGTCTTGTCAGAGACGGCACGTCATAGCCCTGCCATACAGAGTCTGGTCCGTGCAGAGTCGGAGTCAGGCACAGACCGCATTCGTCAGACACAGTACATCAAAAGCAGTA